TGTTTCTTCTCCTAGTCCTGTTTGTTTGTGTATTAATGTTCTACTTTGTATATACTAAGATGGCAGGTTCTTAAGGACATTAAAACTCTTGTCAAATTGAGTTGCTCCCGGTGGGGTGACATTCTGATAACCTGTGACATTCCAGGCTTGTATATCTATCTATCTATCTATCTTTCTTTCTTTCTTTCTTTCTTTCTTTCTTTCTTTCTTTCTTTCTTTCTTTCTTTCTTTCTTGTTAGCCCCACTTCTAGCACTGTTCAAGGGTCTCAGGCCACTCCATGTGGCTGGGGACCACGGGGGCAGTTCTCCACCTCTGAATGGTTCTTTTTCCGCTCTCTTCTCTTTGTTGTTGCTGTGATTAGGGCAGGGGTAGGGGAGGTTGGAGGGAGCATCTGCATTCCTGGTGCCTGGTTATGATCTTCACCGGGGTTTGTCCTCTTAGTTGTGGTGCTCACACATACATACTCTTGTTATGCCATGCCTGGGGGTGCTGTGATGCATATCACTAAAGTCACATTCCTAGCCCCTGTGAATACATTTTTCCCCTGTAATAATATAGGTAGATGGTAATATTTGATGTATATGATATTTTCTGTGTGCTCGACGCAGTACCTTGTAAATTGCATGTCCTAATTTATTTAATCCTCACAAGATTACTATTCCTGTTTTATGTATGAGCAAACCAAGGCGATTTGTTCTTGATTATGAGATATTAAGTGATTTGCCCTGGTCCAACAGCTAATGAGTGTCAAGGGATAGATTTGGACCAAGAGAGTTTGGTGCCAGAACTCATGCTTTTAGCAGGACAGTAGTGAATTTTGTGGTATCTTCATTATTGCTAAAATATCTCAAGTATACTGGAGAATACCATCCCTGGAGGATAAGCTACTTTATTTGTATGTCAGTAATCTCATATTTTACATTTCTAGACGTTTACATATGTAATAGACATTTGCACACTTTTACTTACTTGGGTGCGTATATAGAGCTAGTCGTTTATGTATATACACGTATATAATATTCCTTTGGAGGAGCTAATGCAGGGTTTCCATTTGTTAACATTTTTTTAATCTCTTAACCTGATCTTGTGGAAGCAGGAACAGTTTGTCCATTCATCAGGGATAGAGGGACTTACGAGGTCAGAATGATGGAAGGGACACGAGGGAAACCTCAGATAGCGTGAGGTCACAGTCTGATCACATAGAGTATAAAACTGTTTCAGCCTTTGGACCATTTTGCTAGTTCAGGTCACTTGCTTTATGAACAGTCACTCAGATCTTAGTGACACAGTTCCGGGTTGTTTTTTGCAGAAGCTAGCTATGTAATAATCAAAGCCATAAAAACAATTTTTCAAGTTCTCTAACAATAACAAATAGTAGTCATGTCTTGGAAGCAGAGCCAGGAGGCACTGTAGACTGAATTGTTCCAAGTCTCTGCTGTCTCTTGCTAAATGATTTTTAGAAAAATTTTAAGGTAGCGCCTCATGTTTTTAACAACTGTTAAATGATTGTTACCTTTTGCCTTCTCTCATTCTGTTTTTACAAGTGAATTTATTATTGCTACCAAATGTCACACCAGATGGGAAGTGAATAATTTAAAGTGGTCATGTTCTTTCACAAAGGAAAGCCCTACCTTTTTTCTAGGATATTTATATTTGCTTTGTGCGAGTTCTTTGTTGGTCCACGGAGAGACCAACATGGGTCAGAAAGGGAGTAGATCCTCAAGATTCTGAACATTGTTAACAATCGAATGGTTTGAATGGTTGGATATTATTGATAGCGGTATCAATGATTGAAAACTGGGCGGGGACATGGCTCAAGGGCTGCACGCGTGCTTTGCGTGATGGAAACTTGGTTTTGTTTTCTTGCTTCTTATGGTCCTCTGACCACCATCAGGAGCAACTCCCAAGCACCTGCCCTGAAGGAGCCCTACGCGCCTTCTGGTTTGATTCAAAATCCACTACCCTCCCCCCACCCCTCCCCTGCTCCCACCCCCCACTCTCCCACAGAAAAAGTTATGTAAAAGTAATAATGTTTCTTCAGATTAGGAACTGAATGAGATCAATTTATTTAGTATCTTTGAAAAAAATGATAGTATCTGTTGAGAATATGGACCGCTTAGAATTTGCATGTCATCCTTGCTCAGGGGCTATGCGAATCTCTTATCGCTCCATTCTTAGTGTATGTGCTGCCCACGAGAGCCCTATTTAGTACTTTCAGTCTGTATTTGAAGCAGAAAGCTTCTAGGTGTGCCGCTGGCAAAATTTTATGGGAAGGGCCTCAAGGAATTGATTGTCTTGGTGTAAGAGGGATGATGGACTTAATTTCCTTATACTTATAGATTAAAATATTGATGCTGTATGTAATTTTGGAAGTCATTATGCATGATTAATTGCCCCAAATTCAGAGGTTGTCTTAAAGGAGAAAAATTATTTTAGCAAAAATGTTCGTGCCTTCTAACAGAAGCAGATTTCATGAATCATCTTCCTGAGTTCTGTGCAGCTTTTTTTCATCTTGGTATATTTTTCTTGAAAGAAAAAAATGACTTGATTTTTTTCTTTTATAGTCAAAATCCAGCTTTCTTACTTACTTTGAGAATGGGGAACTCAGTAAAATAGAGAACATATTTTTGCAGGATACATTTTCCATACTTTTACCCCTCTTGGTGTACAATTACTAAAGTCATAGAATTGTAGGTTTTTTAAAGCATTGACTGCTTAGGAATGGTTCTTTATTATCTTGTTTTATTGCTTGGTTTGGTTTTGGGCCATACTAGTGATGCTCAGGGCTTACTCCTGGCTCTGTCCTCAGGGATCAAACCTGGGTTGGCCAATATTCCAAGGTAAAACCCTTTGTCATAAATGAACTATCTGTACCTTTGAGTATTTGCCTCTGGGATCTTAATTTTATTCCATTGGGCTGAAAATTGTTATTCCAGTACTATGTCATTTTTCCTCAGAAAAATGAGGAAAAATTTCTTTGAGTATTCTGGGAGTTAAACTGTACAAGTTTAGGAAAATTTAGAAAATACTTGTATATCCTTGAAGACTGCTATTAGTGTTTTGATTGGGATTGCATTGAATCTACAGTGCTTTGGGAAAGATGATCATTTTTAATTGCACTGTAGCACTGTCCTCCATTGTTCGTCGATTTGCTCAAGCGGGCCCAGTAACGTCTCCATTGTGAGACTTGTTGTTCCTGTGTTTGGCATATCAGATACGTCACGGGTAACTTGCCAGGCTTTGCCGTGTGGGTGCGATACTCTCAGTAGCTTGACAGACTCTCCGAGAGGGGCGGAGGAATTGAACCTGGCTCGCCTGGCCGGCCACGTGCAACGCAAACGCCCTACCAGTGTGCTATCACTCCAGCCCTATTTTTAACTACATTCTTCAAATCCATGACAAGGTTTTACATTTTTACATTTCCCTGTGTCTTTTATTTTTTTCAGGAGTGATTTACAGTTCTTAGTAAAATCTTTTACTTCCTTTTTGATTCCTAAATTGATTCCTAGATACTTTTTCTACAAATCATAAATGGGATTTGTAAAGAATTTCTTTCTCTTCGTATTTTTTACATGTCAGACTATAAAAGAGTCTTTATGTGTATGTGTGTGTTTCTGTAGCCCACCTTGCTTATTCTAGGAATTTTTTGGAGGGGTCTTTAGAGTTTCTCCTATGTACAGTATCACATCATCTGGTAGTAGTGATAGTTTGACTTTTTTTTTCCAGTTTGAATCCTTCTGTGTGCTTGCCTCCCTCCCCTGTCCCTTAAATCATTTTTTTCTTTTCATTTTGCTTTTTAAAAATTTTTGATTTATTTTTATAAAGTTGCTCATAATGATTTATTACATTTCAATATTCCAACACCAACCCCACCACCATTACACCTTCTTACTACCATTATTTCCATTTTTTTCAACTACCATCCATGCCTGCCCCAAAAGCAAGCCCTAAATAATTTATTTCATATTGCTTCTTATAAATAATTCACTAGAAATGATCAAAAAAGATTTCCTTAGAAGAAAGTGTATGAAGATTGTTGTATCTCACCCTGGAGCCATTAGGCCCTTGTATAAGAGATTACTAACCAGTGGTTGTTACAGGTTAAGCCTTGTGTGTTAATACTTTATTAATTTAGATTGGTTGCCTTATACTTTACAATCAATCCAATGTGGTGTTCTACTCCAGGTATATCAGTGGTATACAGTATTGAGAGGGCTGGAGCGATAGCACAGCAGGTAGGGTGTTCGCCTTACATGCGGCCAACATGGCCGACCCGAGTTCGATTCCTCCACCCCTCTCGGAGAGCTCGGCAAGCTACCGAGAGTATTCGATATGCCAGACACAGTAACAACAAAGTCTCCAATGGAGACGTTACTGGGCCCGCTCGAGAAAATCGACGATCAACGGGAGGGCCTTTACCTTTTACCTTTACCTTACAGTATTGAGATGTTGCATGGCTCTGAATGCAGCCATGCACTCCAGGAATTCTAAAATTTTGAATGGGGTGATATAGCTGGAGTTACATTTTTAATTGAATGATGACTTTGGGATCTGTAAGCATCTCTGCAAGTTGTCCATCTCTTCCAAGATTAATTTATGAGTCTCTGTATCATAGCCAAATGAGCTTATATGGCACCAGAGGTAATTAACGAGCATGACCACCAGGCTGCTGGAAGAACAAGGAAAGAAGGGAGGTAGCCCATCCCTGACTCTGTGAGAGCTTGGAGATTTCCGTCACAAAACCTGCAAACCTGAGTTTTTCAACAGATTCATTTCTGAATGAGGCTCTTCCCGAGGCTGTAAATCATGTTTTTCTTTATTTCTTTTTTTGGTTTTCGGGTCACACCAGTGACGTTCAGGGGTTACTCCTAGCTCTGCACTCAAGAAATTTCTCCTGGCAGTGCTTGGGGGACCATATGGAATGCCAGGGATCAAACCCAGGAGAGCCGCATGCAAGGCAGATGCCTTACCCTCTGTACTATCATTCTGACCCCTAAATCATGTTTTTCTCTTCTGTATCAGAACTCATACAGAGTACTGTACGTATGAGTTTTGGATTGCAAAAGATAATTTTTTTTTTGCATCTGTCTCAAAGTTTTTGTCCATATATCAGACAGAAACCCATCAATGTGTTTCAGTTATAATTTGTTTAATTTCTCTTTTTTTTTTTTTTTTTTTGCTTTTTGCTTTTTGGGTCACACCTGGCGATGCACAGGGGTTACGCCTAGCTCTGCACTTAGGAGTAACTCCTGGAGGTGCTCAGGGGACCATATGAGATGCTGGGAATCGAACCCGGGTTGGCTCTGTGCAAGGCAAACGCCCTACCCTCTGTGTTGTCTCTCCAGCCCCTAATTTCTCTTTCTTGCCTAATTGCTGTGGCTGAGACTTCCAATACTGTGATTGCTATTAGTGGTCAGTTTGGACCTCCTTGTCTTGCACATGACCTTAAGAATTTTTCACCAAGTCTTTCAGTTTTTCATCATTGAGTATGTTAGCTGTGGGTATGTGACATATGGCCTTTACTATAGGGAGGTAAGTTCCTTCAATCTCCATCCACTTAGTTATTTTTATTAACCATAAATGAATGTTTAATCATGTCTAATGCTTTCTTTGCATTTATTGATATGATCATGTGGGTTTTCTTTCCTTTCACTAATGTGTTATAGCACTTAATTGATTTGTGTATATTGAACTGTCCTTGCATCCCTGGGATAAATCCCCTTGATCATGGTGTGTAACCTGCTTAATGTATCAATTATTTGGCTTCCAAAGGTTTTGTTGAGGATTTTGCATCTTTGTTCATCAGGGAAATTGTGAAATTTTATTTTTTAGTGATGTCTCTGTCTGCTTTTAGTACCAGTAATTTTGGTCTTGTGTAATTATTTGGAAGGATTTCTATTCTTTACACTTTTTGGAAGAGCTTGAGAAAGATGGGTAGCATGTCCTCTTTGAAGGGCTGGAGCGATAGCACAGCAGATAGGGCATTTGCCTTGCGCGCGGATGACCTGGGCGATCTGGGTTCAATTCCTCCGCCCCTCTCAGAGAGCCCGGCAAGCTACCGAGAGTATCTTGCCCACATGGCAAAGCCTGGCAAGCTACCCGTGATGTATTCGATATGCCAAACACAGTAACAACAAGTCTCACAATGAAGATGTTACTGTAATCGATGAACAATGGGAAGGCAGTGCTACAGTGCTACACTTTCAGGAAGAGCTTGAGAAAGATGGGTAGCACGTCCTCTTTGAAGCCTTGGAAGAACTCCCCAGTCATCCTATTGGGACATGGACTTTGGGGGACAACTTTGAATACTGTCTGAATTTCTGTGAAATTCATTAGTGTGATCAGGTGATCCCTTAGAGGTTCAGCTCCCCACCCTCACTCCCACCCTGCTTCCCTTTCATTTGAGTCTAGCTATAGCTTTGTTGGTCTTGTTTATTCTTTTAAAAAATGTCTTGGCTACATTAATTTTTTGGTATTGTGTTTCTAGGTTTATATTGTTGATTTCTGATCTGATTTTTATTTTTATTCCCTCTTTCTACTTTGGGCTCCCTTTGTTGTTCTAGTTTCTGAGATGAGCTGTGACTGAGACTTCCAATACTATGATTACTATTACTATTTTTGATAAATGACTGTATTGATATGAGCTTTGTTCTTAGTACCACGTTTTGCTGTATTCCTTATGTTCTGGTATCCTGTGTCTTCATTTTCATTTCTAACTAGAAATCTTTTTTTTTTTTAATTTTTTCCCCCTCACCCGAAGTTGGTCAGTAGTGAAGTGAAATGTTCTGCTCCCAAGAGTTTTGAGTTTTCTCCAGTTTTCTGTATTTATTTCTACCTTCAAAGAATTGTGATCTAAGAAAATACTTGATATGATTTCTATCTTCTTGATTTTATGAAGATTTGATTTTGTGTCAGCATCTAATCTGTCTTGGAGAGTGACCCATGTGTACCAGAGAAGAATGTTTACTCAAGTGTTGGGGAATGAATTCCATAATAGAATTGGGCATCTCTGTTATGCCCGATATTCGATATTTCCTTATTTCCTTCTCTCTCTCTCTCTCTCTCTCTCTCTCTCTCTCCCTCCCTTTCTCCCTCTCCCCCCGCCCTTCTTCTTCTGTCTTCCTTCACCAACCCCTTCCTCTTGTTTTTGGGCCCTGCTTGGCAGTGCTTAGGACTTACTCTCCATGTTTTCTCTTTAAGGCCACTGTTTTCTTGCTGTTGTTGTTGTTGGTTTCTTGGGTTTTTTTTTTTTTTTTGGTCTGGTTGAGGTATGTATGCAATAGTGAGAGGTGATATTCAAATCTACTATTACTTGTATTGTTGACTCCATTTTTCTTTATGTCTGTTAGGAGGCAGTTCATGGGTGTGACTGCCGTGAGCATGGTGGCGATTGGGTTCTGGAGGTGTTCAGCTGCTGGGGTTCGGTTGGGGTGGGTGAGCCCTCCACCCAGGGTACCCTGGTTATGAGACTCAGCCTGGTGTAGGGTCTGGAGACTTCTCTGCAGCTTGCTGATCTCTTTTGAAATTTACTTATGAATCTCTGTTTTACATATTTAGATGCTCTTTGGATGCATATCTGTTTTTGGTTTTGGAGGGGGCTCTCCCAAGTAGTGCTCGGGAAGCTCAGGATACCCAGCAGCAGTTCTCCCAACCAGACCTCACACGGGGGCACGAGGTTGCAATGCTGCTAGAGCCCTGCAGTGACTGGTGCTGCTCAGGTGCCTCCAGGGCTGCACCCTGTAATGCTCAGGGACTATGGAATTAAAGCTGGTTGGCATGTGAGCTGGTCAGGCATGCCCTCTGACCACTGTACCACACCCCCCCCCCCCCATTCCCATCCCCATGTGCATATATGTTACTGAGTGTATAGATTCCCTCCCTTGATCATTATATAAAGTCCATTTCTTTTAGTACTTTTTGTCTTTTGGGGGGTGGGGGGTTGGTTGCACCCAGTGGTGCTCAGGACTTAATCCTGGCTCTGTGCTCAGGACAGGATATGGGACCATATGGGGTGCTGAGAGCTGGGAATGGAACCTGGGTCCGCTGCATGCAAGGCCAAGTGCTTTACCTGCTGTACTGTCTTCTGGCCAACAGAAGGGTCTCCCCCCAACCCCCCATTTTTTGTTTGTTTGTTTTTGGGCCACACTCAGTGGTGCTCACAACTTATTCCTGGCTTTGTGCTCAGGGATCACTCCTGGTGGATCTCCGGGCACCATGTGGAGTACTGAGTATCAAACCCAAGTTGGCTGTGTGCTAGCAAACGCCTTACCCTCTGAACTGTTGTTCAGGTCTTCCCCCCCCCCCCCCCCGACTTTTTAAGGTGATTGCCTATAAGATTATTTTCCAGCCTTTTGCTTTAGCTTGTTTTTGTCATGAATATTAAGGTATGTCTCTTACAAGCAGCAGTAGAAGGTTAGATTCAAATGCCTAATTCGCCTTTTGATTGGTGAGTTTCAGCCACTGATATGGTGAAATTATTGAAATAAAGGAAATGGTTTTACCATCTTTTTATGTGGATGTTGGGTGTTTCAGCAGCTAGTCGTTGTTCTATCGACCTTCCTTTATTTACTTGCCTTGTACTGTGATACCTGCCTTTAATGAATTGGTTAGGTTCCATTTTCCTCTTTTTTGTTTGTGCTTTCGAAGTATGTTTGCCCGGAGAAAGCCATGTGGTTTACCTCTAGAGTTCCAGATTTATACTCACCTTTTAAGATCAAAGCAATGAGCCTTAGATCTTTATGCTGGGCCCAGATAGTTCTCTTCTTCCTTTCTAGCATTTTGTGTAAGTATTGTCCTTTTCCAGGTAGGGCTTCTGTGCCATTAGAGACCTTTTAGTACATTTTCAAGTGCTGGTTTGGTACTCCTAAGTGTTAATGTAAACCTTTGTGCAAAACTCCTTTGAATGTGAATGGAAATCTAGCTGGGTAGAGTATTTTTGTTTGGGTGCTTATTTCATTCCTATCTGACCTGTAGGATTTTGTTTGATCTGTGGCCAGTCTCATGGGGGCTGGGGGGTTTCTAAGTAATTTATTTTTCTTTACTCTTGATGTAAAAAAATTTTTTTAAGATTCTATCTCTATTTGTCTTTTGGCCTTTTAATTGCAGTGTGTCTTGATATTCTTTTGAGTTTATTTTGTTTGGAACTCTGTGAGCTTCTTCTATCTAGGTAAATGGCTTGATCCCCAGGTTGGGGAAATTCTTAGTTATAATTTCTAGTTTATAGTTATAATTTTATAGTTATAAATTTATAGTTATAATTTCTCCCCTGAAATGCCATTCCTGGGGCTGGAGCGATAGTAGAGTGGGTAGGGCATTTGCGGACTCAGGTTCGATTTCCAGCATTCCATGTGGTCCCCTTGTGCATCGCTGGGTGTGACTCAAAAAACAAAATAAAATAAAATAAAATGCCATTCCCATCTCCTTGCCTTCTGTGACCAATTCAGTGTGACCAATGCCATTCCCATCTCCTTGCCTTCTGTGACCAACAATTCAGATATTGTTTCTCCCATAGGTCCCTGATGTTTTCTTCATTTAAAAAAATTTTGAAAAATTGAAAAAAATTACCCCCCCTCCTTTTTTTTCTTTCAAATGTTTCCCTGCCTCTTGCCCTCACTGAATAGTTCCTCTTCTTGGCGTCATTCTGCTGCTTAGTTCCTTCATTGTGGGGTCGTTTTTTTTTGGGTTTTTTTTGAACGACACCCACCAGTGTCATATTGGTGCCCTGTGCTCAGGGATTGCTATTTGCAGTGCTCTGGACCATGTGGTGCTGGAGATGGAACTTGTTCCTCATGCAGACAGAGCACGTGCTGCGGCTCTAAGCTGTCTCCCCATCCCTCTTGCCCCCCAGTTGTATTTTTCAGTTCTCCTGTTTCAGATCAGTCAATTCTTCTTGAAGTTCTCTTACACATTTTCTTTCCTTGGGGCTAGCTCTATTGTTCTCCTCAATTCAGTAAGCATCCTTATCATTGTTTTGGATTTTGTTGTTTCCTAATCCAGTGTGCCCTTTTATTTTTTTAAAAAATTATTTTATTTATTTTTACTGAATCACCATGATTTTTATTTTGAATTCCTCACCAGGCAGGTGAGAGAGTTCTTGTGTGCCTGTGTCCTTCCCAGACTTCTGTCTGCATTA